AACAAATTATATCCTCCTATAAACCTCATTCAGTTATCCTATGAGGTGACTATAACCTCCCTTATGTAACGTGGTCGTCTGATGAGCTAGCAAAATATATAATACCATTATACTATAAATAAACTAAGAAAAGTTAAAAAAATTATCATAATAATCATGATGAAGAGGTTTATCTATATTTTATGTTAGAACCAGTACAACAAGTGATATTGTTGAATTATTTGTGTAAATATATATTTTATTCAAAATAACTTTTTGCCTGTTACATCGTTTATATTTATCTATTATTTATGTTAAATATAAAATATAAACAAAGTAAAATGCAAAAAGTTATTTTGAATAAAATATTTATTTACACAAATAATTCAACAACATCAGTTATTGTATTGGTTTGTTGTTATAACTTATTTACAGGGTTCGGTACTTATAGCACTTAAAAACACAATATTAAGTGCTAAAATATGCACTTAAAAACCCTAGAATATGCATACAATTTTTAAAAATATGCATTTAATATATTTATGAATTTATAATTATTTATTATTTTATTAATAATTATTAATTACAATTGTTATTAAGTGTAAAAAAAAATCAACTAATTGTTAACTTGTTTCTTAAATTTCCGAGTATTTTTAATTTTATTTATCAACTATAAAATGGGAAAAATTAAAAATTCAATTTTTCATTTAAATCAATAAATAAATAATTTTACTTATATATTTCTTATCTAAATCATGCATATAATAAAGAGGAGTGGAAGAATTTAGTATTGGCAGCAAAGGGTCTAAACGGTTTATAATGCTAAAATAAAAAAATAAATATTTCTTACCTTCATTGTAACATTGAATAATTAAATGTTTCCGAAAGTTTTCAAATGCAAATGCTCTTCGACTGTCGGATAACAGAGTTTTGTACAATGAAAATGATCTCTCGACATCCACTGAAGTGGTCGATGCATATTTAGCACATTTTACACAGTTTACAAAGTCGTTGCATAAATTATCTTTAAGAAATTGACTCATATCAGAAATTTCATCTTTTTTTTCTAAAATACCTGATATTTTCTTCAAAATTTTAATATCTTTATTATTTTCAAAAAACTTTTTGTAATTTTAAAATTACTACTTTTGCTGGAGTTCCTTTTAATGATTGAAATTTATAATTTACTTCTTGAATTATAGTAATTGAATCAGCCAATGGAAAGTTTTTCGTTTGTAATTTTACAATGGCCATTGTGAGGACTTGAAAATTACTTTTGATATAAGTCAAGTCGTTTTCCAATCCTGGTTTCGGTAAGCATAATTTGACTTTTTTAATACTATCTGTATTATTTTCGTCTAAGACATTTATTACGCTACATATTATTTGGAAATTTTCACAGTAATAATTGTAAATTGCTCCTTTGAGTCATGGTCCCCAACGCGTAATGATAGATTATGGTGGTGATCTAATTCTCGAAGCTATCGATTTAAACTAATCAAAACGGTATAGGGCTTTGCGGATATTTTTTTTTTATGTTTAATATTAACTAGTCAGCAGTATTGAATTGTCCACGAACTTCTTCAGTTATCCAATGAAGTGTACACTGCAAGTGGTGTGAACCATTTTGGTATATAGATTTCTGAAAACTAAACCGACCTTGACCATGTAAAGAGCTGCGTTAGATAAGAATAGTAAGACGTTGTTGTACATATCTCCAGGCCGTAAAATGGTCACTGCTTTATTAAAGACTTTATAAATAGTATTATAATTTATTTTTTTAACTGTTCTGAGTGCAGTATAAATGAATGACCGACATAATCTGACTTAAGAATTCCAACAATAACTAATCAACACATCGTCCTTGTACATCACATTTTTCATCAACTATACCCAAATTTAATTGTTCTCAATTTCAATTCTCATTTTATCTATTACTTGGTTGTAAATTTCGTCAATATATCCTTTTCGTAAGCTAGCTTCAAATGGTATACTTTTACCCGTATATTTTTCTAAAAATTAACGAAGTGTAATGTTTGGAAGTTCATTAAACAGTATGTTCGCAGTCACATTGCTTCGATTAAATCCTTATTAAAATCTGACTTGGTAAGTTAAGAGTTGTTGCAATTTCTTTTGAACTTGGTCTTTTTGGTGTTTAACAATTTTAAACGTGTTTGTCAGTTCGAATATGTTGGTTTAGTCAAACTTATTTTTGAAATTAATCTTTAATTCACAAACTTTGCAAAATAATACGAACCCATCAGTAGATAATATTTCAGATCTAAATTCAGACACATAGTTTCTCATACGCGCACTAGTGGATTGTTTTACTCTTCCCATTTTGAGTAACATATTATGTTTAAGAAATAATTTACACGATTACAAGCACGCAGAATACACGCCAACGGATAAACGTTATAGATTGAACAAATAATTGAAACTATCAAATAACTACTCCTATTATCGGCTTAACGGACACTAGCCGTCCGAACTATGTTTATCGGGAATACCTTTAGTTTCAAATAACGTTTTATAAAAATATTATATAATTATCGTATCGCTCGTATCACAACATTTTATATAAACATATAATATTATGTTGTGATACGATCAATATATGGTATACGGTATACAATATACGGTCAATATACATAAATACAGCCATCATATTTTTTAAATACAAACGTTTCAAGAAGTTGTGAGTTGTATATAGCAAATAGGTACACGATATCGCATTACTATTTTCTTTTTTCTTTTTTAGATCAGTTGAAATTTGTAAAGTTGAAATTTTGAATATTTTTTCAAAATATGCAAAATAAGCACAATAACGTAAAAGTAAGCACTTATCTGCAAAATTTATGAAATATGCACACTTAAATTTTATATTTGGTATCACGGCATTGAGAAATGAATTTATTTCGCACTCTGCTATATTTTACGATAAATAAAAAAATTATGCAAATGCAAGAAGTCCCGAACCCTGCTCATTGAATTATAAGCAATATAGTAGTAATTCGTAGTATTTATTTTCGCATCGCAAAAGCGAAATCGTTTTGAAATTGCTTCTTGTTTACTCTATTACAAGAAAGAGTATTACATGAAAGAGGGGTGCTTTGGTTTTCCATTTGATATCCGCGGTAGATTTTCCATTTAGTTATACCAGAAAATGGTCCGTGGTCATGTTATTATAATATTTGTTGGAAAACAACTTTTGTATACTAACTTAGTTTATATAAGCTATACATACACACTGCACATATACTGTGTGCATATATTATATTGTAAACGTGTGTGCCGCGTCCCAAATTCTTTTGCAGTTTCGTGTATACATTACGTATTGCGTTTAACGAGAAAACTTGGTTTCTGTCGTCGAGTGATAATTTGAAATCCTTTCTCCGCCATTTCCCTGTAGTCAACCGCAAGCTGTGCATCGGAAATTATGAAAAGTGCAACGCTGCGAAACGACGAGAATTGTTAATCATCGTTAATTATCGTCCTGTTGCTACGGGACGGATGCGCACGGCCATAATGTTTCCCTTGAACGGACTAAAGTTGCCGTTGTTCGTTGCAACAACGATACGTCGTTTTGACGTTCTACGATTTATTATTGTTCAACAATTAATCCCGCGAAATCCTTCGATAACGTGTTATTTGTTCACGGCAAGACGCATGTCGTATTATTTATCGCGATTACACTAACGGTTACGGATGCGCGCGCACACACGATCTCGCCACAGATTATATGAATGCAGATGGTGCATTCCCTATGCTACAATGTAAATGCAGCGGTAAGAGTCGTACACTTTTGAGGAGCGTGTCCACAAGTAGAAAAATAAATTCCTTTATAATAGTTTATTATTTCTGAACGAGCATCACTGACTTTTGTTGTGGTTCCACGAAATGCCAACCATAATTCTAAGTAATTTTTCTAAGTAAATAATATTATGGCTCATTATTATGATTAAATGTTCGGTACAATCATGTATTTCTTGAATGTGGTCACATTGATCTCAGAAGTTGGTCACGCTCCATAAAAGTGTCCGCGATTTCTTTACTCTTTGAGAAATCGCCGAAGTGCACCATCAGTATTCATATAATATGTGATCTCGCGAACGCGACACGGCGGCAACGAAGACCCGGGTTGTTCATTGTTCACGATTTCTCCCTCTTCCCTCCACTTGTCGGGCCGGTGATGACGGTCGTCAAAGCCAAGGAGAATAAAATCCGTAACTCTAAAAACGAATTCCACGACGCGATACCCGTTCACTAGAAACACTATAATTACATGGTATGGTGTACGTTTCCGGAAACTGTTAAAATTCCTCGAAATGTTCGATTGCGACTACTGAGAAAATCGGGCGAGTACAACAACATCGTTGAACATTGAATTTCCGAAAGTTTCTACGTTGTATCTTTAACGGTACCGAGAAACGTTTTTCGAAAAGTCACAAATATCTAATCGAGTTTGTGTTCGAAACACATAACGATTAATCGCCGAGAAGAACGAAAAAAAAACACGTTTAAGTATTTACGTTAGTCGCTGGATACGGTTTTGCGAGGTACGTTCGGAATTATTTCACAAACGCGCCGACACAGCGCCGTTTTGGTGTGTTCGTGAAAACGCTTTTAAACATTCCCTACGACGAATTTAAATATGAAAATTTACACCTGTATACGTGCACGCGCCGTGCAAAGGTCGTTTTCGAAGACTGTATTATTATTATTCGACGTCTGGCTTGTGCGAATTTATACATGTATACATATTTGCTTCCAAACGCATTTTTCTCTCAGAACAACGGTTCGTCGCCGCCACCCTTGTTAAAATAAACGACTTGGCCGACACGCCGTGCGATTCTGCGGCAACTGAATCTAAAATTGAAATAACTTTTACCCTTTTTTTTTTTTTATTCTTTTTCTTCCGTATACATGTTATGGTGATTATATATGTATATGTATGTGTTTTACATGTATAACGTGTATATGATGTATAAATATTTAATATTTTCCATTTGTGTTTTCAGGTTTTGCAAGCCAACAGAGATACGAACACGATAGTAGACCGACCTTTGGTGCCGGCTATTATTGCGTCCAAAATCCGTTTGGTGCCTTACAGCGGACAACCGCGTACGGGTTGCCTTCGAGCTGAGATCATCGGTTGTTATCATTACGGTAAGGGATTTTCGCTAATTGTAATGTCCACGCAATAATAAAATAAAACACATTCGGTGGCACATTCCTCGTGTTGCGTGTCTTACGTATTACTTCATTTCACGTAACCCAGGGTCTCTAATCCACTTCATATTGGGAGATTTCTAGCAAGAAAATATTTTTGGAATAAAAATTATTTTTTTTCTAATTCCCATTCTTCCAGACCATACATTTATGCATAACGTGCTGTTAGATATGTATGAAATAATGAGAATAATATTTTTCTTTTTTGTTCATTTAAATTTCATAATATCAACATATATCATTACGTTCTCGCAATGGTGTATCTATATAGATAATATTTTCGGGAGAGGCTATGAACAGAGTTAAATTAGGTACCACTGCTATGTAAGAATTACTAACAAAACACAGTGGTACTTATCTACATTACATTTATAGAATGTCCCAAAACGATTTGACGTTAAACGCAAATTCTAAATAAGTATAAAGCACCATTAAAATATAACAGACGTTTAAAATAACTTTTAAGTTTTTTAAAAAATTTCAAGGAGGGGGGGCTGTAGCTCACTAGGCACCCTCCTCCACTATATATGCCACTGCGTTCTCGCATAGTCCTTCGAAATATTTTACCAGCGAAATGACACAATCAATATTATTTGCCCTCTCGTCTACAGATACCTGTGTTATAAAATAATTAAATAAGATTTTCATTAATTTCTTATTTGTAAGTATTTTTTAAATACTTAATTTTAATTTTACTGTTCATATATAATATATGTTTATAGAATAAGAGTGATTTATTTGGGTATTGTTTTACATTTTAAATTCTGATGTATTTTATAAATTCCAAAATCAAAAACTTGCATTTGTTTTTTTTTTTTATGTTAAAATATATTATACATACATTCAAACTTTTATATAAGTTATATAAGTTATATTATAAGTTTATTATGAATAATTGACAGCTTTTAAGAGCGCAGTGATATAAAAATGATTTCTTAAAATAAAATCTAATTACTTAAAATAAAAAAATAAAGTTAACTGCCTTAATAAATTGTTATAATAAATAATTGATATAAGGTTATATTACGTTTCATTAGTTGTGGTATCGCATATGGATATGATAATATAATCATTGACTAAAATATAATGGGAACCGATTTTTTATAACATAAAAGACCACTTAGGATTAATGTAAATAAAACATTCATTGTTCCTGAAATAAATGTGTATAAACTTTTGAACCACTCCATAAAATTAAAACTTTTTTGAAGTATTAATTTTTAGTACTTTAGTATGCATTATTTTAGAATTAAAGTGGTTTGTATTTTAATTATAGTTAGAATCGGATGGCTAAAAGTAGTTTAATTTTTTTAGTTTCAACTTAAAGCACAACCAATTATTATGTATTTATGTTCATTAAACAAATAAATTGATTGTATTTATATGATTTACTTTTCTATTTTGAATATATTTTATGTAGTAATAATAATAGTGTTTATTTTATACTTCTATTATTAAGGCGAATTGTTTTCATGCAAGTTATCAAATGTTATTGGCGTTATTACTGATAGCTATTATATAACAGAAAATAAAAATTAATTCTTCCATAAGAAACCCTTTACACAAGTTAAAAATACCACTAAAAATTGTTTTGAGGCCCTAATCTACAAAGTTACTAATTACCATAAAATAGGTTCTCCCTAGTTACGGATCGAACCTGACTGTCGAATAAATAAGTTACAAGAAACAAATCAAAGTGAATTTCTTACTTCTCTAGTATTAGTGCTTTAAGTTACAATATCAAATAAGTATTTAACCAATTTTTCACGTCAAACATAAAACTGCTTGTATTATTAGTAGATTATGATTCATATGATTCATTATGACTCATTAAGTTAAACAAATTTATAAATATAAAGTACATCTTCGTAGAATCAAAAAACTATTATCCTTTTCGTAGCAGCTTAATCTTTAAACCAGAATTCCTAAGTAAAATAAATTTTAAAATTCCAAACTTCAATTAAAGAGACAATCATCTTTTTTAGTACTTCATTGCTCAACAAATATTATCAAAAATAGTCCGGAGTACTGTTTTTTAAAATCATTTAATAATATACCTAATTTCGATTTCTTCTTTGGTCCTCAACTTAATTTAAAAAATTTAATAATGAATATTAAATAATTTACTAATATATAATAATATATTATAATAATATAATTATATAATAATTATTATTAATAATAATTTAATAATAATTAAATAAATTATAATATATTATATTCACTTATATTTTTTTTTAAACATGTATTAATATGATAGTCAGAATTGTTTGTATACTTTTTGTTAATTTAAAAACTATACTCATTACCCTTTTGGGGTGTAAATTTATGAACAAAAATAAATAAAAAAATAAAAATAAAAAATAAACTGCTATTCATTTAACACATAAGACTTAATAAAATTCTAACTCTACAATTTACTCGTACACTACAATTTTATAAAACTTGATTGCTTTATTCGGAAAATAACGATGAAAAACAATAGTAATCAGGTATTTTCGAGTAATTTTATAGCTTTGCGTTCTACTAATATGCAGAAAAAAAAATAAATTATTATTATAAGATTATTAGTTATCATATTTTATGTCGTTAATTTTTCAAGCAGTTACAATTTTTTGTTTTGAAATGCACATAGTGTCAGCGATTATTTTTAACATATTTTGGTTATGTGACAACATCGTGGTATATTTGATTTGGTTGCAATTCAAACGGTTTCAGCACATGCATGAATGTTTAGCACATATTCGATAACATAAGCTCCATAAGTTGCGCATACTTAATATTGTCTAGTTAAGGGTGATAATTAGTTTTGCTTGTAGCTGCCGGGATATACAAACAGTGCAACATCTATCTGCAGATACCACTTGATGTAAGAGGAAACCTCTTTGTAACTACCAAATGTTTACTTGGAGAAACATACGGCTGTTTTCAAAGGGTTCCTAGTATTAAAAGCTCTTGGAAGAACTCTCAGCACACCTTTGTAAACTTTGTCTCACAGAAGTTACAAATTCATCATGTAGAAACCTCGACTAATGTCAGCAATAAAACGCGTTTAATTCTCCTCACGTTCAAGTATTGACATTTTTAAAAATATTTTAAGCCTGGAGCCAAACTATTGACTTTTAAATAGCATTACTTGTTACGTCTTGTCTACAAAATTCCTTTGCTCATTTACATTTATAAATTTTCCACTTCTATACGAACTTTAGGAAATCATTATATTTTACAGTGGTTTGTATACACAGGAAGTTTGTAATACTACAAATTACTTGCTTTTCGAATGACAATCATATTTAAAAAGTATCACTATATCTTTTAGTGATGGATAGGTGTATTATAACATTTGAATTTTTCCGTATCTAATTTTCCATATCTATTCATTACATTTCTAAGTATACATTAACATATAATATTTATCATTTTACCCAAACACCAAAAATTAACTATAAATTTACATTCACTCGTGTATGATTGAACTACTTTAAAATATCACTTCTGTCATCATACATTTTAATATTTATACGTTTGCAGTGCGTCATTATTTCAGTTTCATAACATTATTGGAATTTCAAATATTATATTAATTTTATTTTTATTTTTATTTAAAATTTAGAAACTAAGAAGTTTTTTTTAAAATTTTTTTTGTTCAAATATAATCTAACTGGAATAGGAGAGTAGTAGCAGTTGTTCTTTTACGTGATTGCCAATAGTTGGGTTTGAAATTTGACTACGCTTATATACATAGTCATCTTATTCGGCTCGGCCATAATGTATTAAGACTTAGTTAAATTTGTAATTATTAATGCGATCCATTATTTTGAGTCTCAATAAATGCTTAAAAATGTAGTATCTGCTGATACATTTATCGCTTGATTAAAAACAAAAAAATGTTAGTCAAGAGTATCGTTTGAAAATATAGTAAATATTATTAAGTTTATCACTTAATTAAAAACAAAAAATTGTTAATTAAGAGTATCGTTTACATGAGACAATAGGACTATTAAAATGTTTAACCCCCACTCCCTAACCTGAAATATGCACACGCCTTTAGTGGAATTAATAGTTTATAATTTACTATGGATTAAATTATGTCCGGGATACGTTTAATAAATTAAAGTTAAATTAATTAATCAAATTGCATTTTGAAACCATAACATTACCGTAATGCCCGTAGGTTTCTTTACATTTCATGATATTATGTAAATGTTGAGTTCCAAGTACACCGTTTATTTTATTTTGTTAATGAACAAGTTTAAAGCGTTGCAATGGATATACAAATAATGGCGCCAGTCAATCGTAAAATAAATTACAGTTCTGGCAGTCCATGGTTTTAGTGATTCAACCAGCTACCTTTTTGTTGAAAAAATGTCCGTATCATTTTTGTCATACTTATTTTACCGCTTTATCTGCACTTTCCAAGACGAAAGTATATGAACCTAGTTTTTGTAAGATTTGTAGAACACAATATAGGATCAGTGTATACTTATAAATATAGTATTACTTCTGTTTTATTATTGTTATATCTGAAGTATATGTTGACGGATTTATTTTTAGTTTATGCTATCTTCTTATTTGATAATCTTAAACTCTTTCTATTTATATCTATTCGACTTAATATTATGTAAATTATTTATTATATTACCTATAAGATAAATCCAAAAGTTTGCAATAAAACCATCACTTCATTTATGAATTCTTTACTATAATAGATAATGATCCAACTGCAGCAAAAATCATCGAAAACATAGACATGCATATAAAACCTACCTAATATTCGCTATGATTAATTCTTGCGAAATTGTTTAAATTTCGTGTTATTTCAGTACTCCAAGTTGATAGTTAACAGTTGAAAAGTCAGTCATCTAAAATGTCTTTTGTACTAATTTCTTAACAACATTCACTATTCGATATTTATAGAAAGCCATCTGCTTTTAGCAGATCAAATTAAAAAACAAACAATACGAGTTGTTGTAACTCTTTTAAACTCATCTTATTTAGAAAATGGTTGTTTGCAAATCTGTTTTAACATACTCGTAGGTTTAGATTCCTGAGTCCTAATTATGGAGTGCTGAAAAAGAGTATAATTTTTAAATCATTTCAGACTATTTAATCAATAAAAATGTTATACTAATATTATTATTATTTATTTAAATATTAATTTTATTAGAAAAACTATAAAAATTATCAACGAAATTAGTGCAATATTATGTATTGCATTTATTGCCATCAATTAAATTATTATTAAACCTACTAGTTTTAGGACTCCATTCAAATTCTTTTACGAATGATAATTATATGTTAGGATCCTTTTTTGATTTTATTTAAGTCGTCATTTTGAAATATTTAGTACTTAGTGCATGGGGGGATAAGCAATATGATAGATTAAACCATACGTAATGAGAAATAATTTTTGTGAACAACCGATAGTAAGGAAACCATTTTTTAAAGTAAATACCGTTTTGACACTTAAATATAATAAACATTTATGTTTATACAATAAACTTATATTTACTTTTAGGTATAAATAGAGTTTACTTACTATACATATCTCAGCAACACGAATAAAGTGTTTTTACATTAATTCTGCTCGCAAAACAAGAATTAATTTCTAAAGAAAATAAATGATGTACACTGACATTATTACAATATTTAAAAGAAATTTTACTTATTTATCATGTTTCACAGTCGATAGATTATGATACCATTAGAAACGTATTTAATAACAATGATCGTTATACATCGATATATAAGTGTTGCATGATTACGGTTCACAGAATTCGAATTGTTTTAAACCTATAGTTTCTTTATGAAATAAATAATGATAACTTTAACAGCTACTGTCCACAATTGCTTTTAAGTTTCAACTATTTATAATTTGAATACGATTTGAAACTTTTAACTTGAATTCATCGATACCCTTAAGTGAAAACAATTTATAAAATCCTTTAAATCTTAAACTTTTAAACTTTATTTGGGAGAATTAAATTCAAGTAAATGTTTTTCAACGACGGGTATAGACGTATAAACCATTAAGAATTGTAACAAATATTTTTCTCTGTTGGAATAACAATTTTAAAAATTGTTTCCTTTGTTGTTTTCTTTTTAGAAAAAAATGAAAACTAATAGTATTTTCACCGATAGTGTGACATATACCGAGTTTTATGTTTATTATTACATGACTATTGGTTTGAATTTTTAATATTTGAATAATTTTATAATCGATGGCAAATTATCAGGTAAAAAATATATAATCTTAGACGACGGCTGGAGTAATAGTATATTGAATTTTTGTTCCTAATATTGTTATAAGTTAAATATTTAATTGGTTAATTGATCAATTAGAAACAAAAACTCAATTATTAAATATTTTTTACATGGAGCGATTTTAAATTCCACCAATTGTTAAGTAATTTATTTGAAGATTGAGGTTATACATTGAAATTAGACACTAGGACACAACTGAAAAAGACCGGTTTCAGACCCAAAGTTAAAGAAACCAAAATCTTAACTAGATCCCATAAAAACATTTGTAAAGCAACCGAAACCAATATTTTTTTCTTGGCCAGAACCAATATAAACATAACGGTTCCAGTCACTGCTTGAAATTCAACCTGGACATTACATTTAACGGAAAAAATATTAACCCTACTAATGTTGAACTCCATCGATTTTAAAATATTTTAATTATAGTTACCTTACTACTTTTTACTACATTATCGAGACATAAATAATTTCTATACATGTTAAACATTTACGCTTCAGAAGAATTATTATTGTTTCCACCAAATATAATATGAGCTTTGTATAGTATCTTATTGAATTAAACTTCTAATACATGCGAGTCGTTCCTTTCCTGCTTATTACTATTATATTTTAAAAGATACATTAAAATATATAAGACTTTTCAAAAGGTCTTGTAATTCAAACATTCATTTACATTAAATTAAACAGTATTAAAGAGTCTAATACCTTTCGAAATTCCACATCACAAACACCTCATTAATATTTATATACTCGTAGGATGGGTATATTTTTCACACGAATGAAAAAAGTTTGTTAGAGCAGCATCTCATTATTATATGGTAAATCAAAATTGTTATTTGTGTCTTATTACTAACTCATTATTGATATTATTATTAATTATGTTGTTCTTTTATAAGTATAAAATAATGTAAGTAAAAATATTTATAATTCCGTGAATATGTATACCACAAGCAGAATTAATAAAAATTAGATTTTAGAAATGAACGTATATTTTTAAGTAAAAATTATTATTGGAGTTTATATAAAAATAAATAAGCCATTTAACTTATCAAAATTTGCTTAATTGTTGAAGTTATTTAAATTTTAAATTAATGTTAATGTAAATAAAATATTGACACGGATATTTTTCAAAACTTTTGAATTTCCTAAAAATAGCAAATATATGAACATAAAAACAAATCTCGAATAATTATTTGATTTAAAAAAAAAAATATTTATTTTTATCACTAAGTTACTGTATATTATTAAAATATTAAAAATATTTAAAAACAGTTTACTAGACAAATAATAATTTTTTTTCTTATTATCATACAATCTGCTGAAAAATCAAAATAGACTGGTTCATTAAAATATCCGATCTAATATTTAACTATACGAATAGGTTAAAAATAGAAAACTGATTATTATTTTTTAAAATCTACTACAATTTACAATTTCCCTAAAATTTGTGTTATTTATGCATTTTTTTTTTTTTTTTTTTTTTTTTTTGAACCAGCCAACTAAAGGCGTTTACCCACGACACAGACAGTAAAACGATTCCTTAGGTTTAATAATAATACAGCCCCTTCACAGATGTACAAAGTAGCGAAAAGAATTTAGTTTCTAATTTCACTGTCAAGACAGGTTCTCTGATCCGAGGATATTTTAGATTTAACAATATTAAACATTTATGACCTCCATAAGACAACTCCATAAGACAACCGAAATAAACAGAAGTGCAGTGCTGAAATAATAACGATTTTGACTATAAAATGCTATCTCGACTGTAATGATATCACTCACTAAGTAATCGGTATTTTAATTTTGTTCTAGTTCTTTATGACAGTGGTACTTTATTACTACCTAGTGAATGATACGACGTGTTACATTTATTAGGGACATTACGTCGCGTTTCATTTCATTACGATTGCTGTACAACGACAGCGAGACGTGTAACGTATACATTACTTGGAAAAAAAAAAACCTAGAAAACTCCCAAACTCCCCCACAGTTCCACCCTTTGTCACTCGTCAACGTTATCGTCCCAGGCGCACATGACAACAGAAAAAAAAATTAATAAAATATATTTTCTCTTCGAAATGTTAACCGATTCGGATATGTGTGTTCACAGAAGGCGTAATCAGTTACTCGGTAATACAGGGTGACATTAAAGACGCAGGTTACGACGGCAGAGAAGAAGGCGGCATATTGGTCGGCGGCGTTGGCCAACTCTGCGATGGTCGGCACGGGGTCGACGAACCATTCGTGAAAAGTGCGTAAATTCTTTTTCGTAAAACAATAACAACAGTAGTATTTCCTCATGTGTTTCGTATCGATCTGTTCGATGTGGTTACCCTCACGTCGTCCTCTACCCGTCACCCGACCGTTGCTCGGAAAAGATAAAAATAATAATAAGAAGACATTTGTTTGCCACAGAACACAACGAATGGGTTGGATGGAAAAACGACACGATGGGCTACGGGTCGTCGGTGGAAATGACTTTCGAGTTCGATGTCGTCAGGAATTTCACCGCATTGTACGTGTATTCGAACAACGACTTCCATCAAAGCGTACAAGTGAGTTGATTTCTGTACATAAAACATTCGTACTGTTGACGAGTTCGTTTTTTGTTTTTACTATCGGTTTTTTTTTTTATTCGACGCACTGGACACGTGCTCGACAACGTATCCAACGATTAGTAAGCGGCGTTAGTCCAATTGTATTTTTAATAAATAACATTCAGGTGATGTTTCGTACTCCATATTTGATAACGTATCCTTAACTGTTTTACAATTCTAATATTTAATATTTGAGTGATGCATTTTTAACGACAGACGTTTAAAAAAATATTCAGGCAGAAATAATTTTAATATTGTGCGCATTTTTACTTAACGTACTCTCATATTTTGTGAACTGTTATTATAGTATATAAATATTTTATTACTATTAGTACATATTAAATATTTTTGAAACAAAAAAAAAACTCTATTATACGTTCAAGGTATTTAAAATATATTACCACGATAAATTAAATGTAGATGTTATATATTTTACATAATATTCATCAACATTTCTTTTTTTTTATATTTGAAAAAGTAGTTTCAATAACATTCAAACTTCAAATTCACCTTTTTTTGTAATGATATCTGTTATACAAAGAAATTGAACATGGATTAGTTATCATTTTTAGACCGATTTTGGATTGTCATTATATTTAAGTATTTTTTGGAATATTTTTTGAAAATATAAAAAAAAAAAATATTCTAAATACCAAATTCGAAAGGCAACAGTTATTGTGAAATACTACATAACTCGAAGTCAAATGAATCACGGAATACAATATATCTTGTGCACATAGTGCACAGATACGTTATTGTACCTTACGACAATGGTGATCTTTTCTCAGCGCAAAGACGATTAATATTGAATTTTCAATAGCAGACCTTGAACCACTCATCCGCTTCTACACACACACACACACACACACACACATATCCCAAAGGTTTAGGCTTCAGGCAAAAGCATTTAACATATCCGTATCCTTCGGCCACGTAAATAGATTCTAGTCTACAACATATTATTGAAATTGACTTCGACAAATCGAATAAGAAATTAACTGATGGTCATGTAATACGTGCATTGTTTTAAATAAGCGAGCGTAACGTTATATGTGCGTGTATATGTGCGGTGTCCTAATATATATGCGAAATTCCATGTATACTCGTTATGTAAATACTTACGAAAGTGAGTGCATGTGTGCATGTATACATTATTCGAATAGGTACATTCCCTTTTTTCAAAGCTATTTTTAAAAATAATTTAGAAACGTTGAACGTTATTAAGCTCTCCCGACACATCATTATAATACAAAAATAATACTATTATCATTTTTACTACTATTATTATTATTATTATTATTATTATTATTATTATTATTGTTATTGTTATTATTTTTGTTATTATTATTATTATTAGTGTTGTTGTTATTATTATTATTATTATATTTTTTCTTTACTCTTAAGCGGGTAAGTTTTTTTTTTTAAAAGCTTTTGGTTTTTATTTTATTAATCTTCATTTCATTGGAAACATAAACAGCGACGCGTATTATACGTTTGTTTGTCATACGGTTTATTGCTAAAACGTTTATGTGTGTGTGTGTGTGTTCAATACATATGCTTTTTTAAATCATACACATCCGATCTGCACAAAAAATCAACAATAATACACACGAGTACACGCATGGACAATGTACATATAATGTATATACAGTAAACACTTTGAACGTTGTGGGTGAGTTTCGAAATTTGATCCCATCATAAAAATACAGTGCGGTTTATATAACCGGCTAGTGGCCGATGAAATCTTGAAGGGTTTGTGTAACGAGTGATTTTTATCGAGAATTTTCTGTACGATTTATACATCGATTTCACGTTGTCGTTTTCTTTACCTACGAATATATTACTTATAGTATGAAATAATAAAAATAAAAATAAAAAATAAATATGTTGAATACTCATTTCCAATATTGAATATAAGTACAATCGTTTTGATAGTTATCAGTACTATACAATTCATTGAAAGCTTCATTTTAAATAAGCTGCACATAAACCACGAACGGAACATATAATATCTGTTCGAACAATAATTTTTTTTTCGCTCATTTGCCGGCGGAATAGACGAAAAGAGTTTTTTTTATTATTTTAATGTAAAATTAAATGTGTAACGAACCAATGGGAGTGCAATATTTATTTTTAAACTGCTAAAAAGAAATAACGCAACCAAAAATATCATGGTTCAAGTGTTCACGGCGATTATGGTTCATATTTTTTTAAAATGCTCATTTTTCAACTCGTGTTTTTGTTTTCCTTTTGTGTCTTATACTAAAAAAAAAAATAATATTTACAAATAAACTTGTATCAAATTTGACAACAATCAATCGATTTTTTCTTTTCATTTAGGTTTTTTCGCATGCCAAAGCCTATTTCAGTGTTGGTGGTGAACACTTTTTCCCAGAACCCGTGTCGTACACTTATCCTGCGGACACAATTATGCCCGAGGCCAGGAACATAACGATAAAACTGCACCACCGAATGGGCAGGTTCCTGAAGCTGCAACTGTTTTTCGCCAACAAATGGATGATGATAAGCGAAATATCGTTCGAATCTGGTAAGACATAATTTTTACAGTATTATAATTTGATGTTACCGCTATGTGAATCAGTGCATTGAACGTGTATATTGGGAGATGGCTATTTTATTTTCCCGTCACATAATTTATGGGAATCAATGGGATCAAACATTCGGTGAGTAAATTCAAATTTGAAAACCGAATAGACTTTCAGATATTCCTACAGATCTCCTTCCGCGTCTAATTCAGCAGTGTATTAATAGTAGACTTCTAAGATGGTAGAGTGATATAGATTGATCGACGGCATCTAAATGTATCAACCTATATAGTTGATATTCTGTCGTCGCAGCGCGATCGTATAGCTGAATCTCTACCAAAACATGTTATGGGCGCAAACGTGATACTTGTTCAACTCTTTGAAACAAATATGTCACAGCGTAAAATGTATTGAAAATATTCATAAAGGATTAGAAAATACACTATAACATATGTATTAATATGAACACAAACCAAGAAATAAGTGTTTATAACACGGACATTAAAAACGTCACGCACCAGTAGTCTGTAGCGGATTAGGGGGCAGGCTAAAGGCTTATAGCCTAGGGTGGCTTTTTTTATAGAATTAAGTTTTATTGACTTATTAGATATATTTCTTTTAATATATATATTTTTTATATTTGTCATATAAACACGAATAAAAATAATTTTAAAAAGTTATAATAGTATATTAATATGTACATTGTATGATGTGTACCTATAGGCTGTAGTAAAAATATTACAATTATTTTTACAATTTGAAAATATTTCATTTGGAATAAAATAATTATAGTTAGTTACTAGTTATTATTAATAACTTATTAGAACTTATGTACTTATTGGGAACATCCGACTATCCGAGTATAGATATTTTCATATCTGGCTATTTATATTTCTGTTATGTGACTGTATAAGCATTGTTTATTTGTACTGGTAATAATGGTATCTGAAGTAAAATAATAGACATGAAAAATTTTATTTTTAGAAGTTTTCTATTTTAAAGATTTTATATTTTATATTTTTTTATTATTATTTATTTATTTATTTTTTTTTTTTTTTGATAAAAAAACTGAATAAAATTTGAAGAGAAGGGTTTAGACCAAATATTGTTGGTTCCTTAGAGTTATAGGGGGGGGGGGCAGAGTGATTAAGCATAGGGGCGCCAAAACGCTAAATCCACCACTGCCAGTAGTGTACATAATAAAATAAAATGCGGGTAAAAAATATATATTTGGTTACATGTTAATTTTTTAAACAGTACGTCAGATATTTGAGGGTAACTAAAGCCGTGGCATGCTAATAATGATGTATGTTAGTGACATGATGGGTTTTCATGCATGTCCGTCCATACATTAGACCAATCAACCCTTGTCTATCAAGTAATACTTGAGCGTTTTATAATTGGGTTGCATAATATTACTCGCGGTTCAAAACGTAATTGTTCGCAAAACTTTCTCAATTTCTGATCAACGCCATCCACAATGAAAGTTGCATACTTTGTACTGTCGGAATTTTCATCATTTTCAAAAATATCAAGGAAGTAGTTATAAATCAAATTCTGATTCCGTTATAACGTAATGTTATGAAAAATTAATTGAATACAATCAATAACTTCGTAAGCATGGTAAAAAATCAATAAGGACATGAACAATATATAGTATATCATCAATTTTGGTGAACATAGTAGTATTTTGTTTGTTTCGACCAGTTAAACTCGTTTATCGAAGAATTAATTCCATTAAAATGTTTATTCGTTGCACTAATTATAAAATTAGGTATAATAACTATATTATAATGCATGAATATGTAGTATTTTTCCCCAATAAGCCAAACAAATAATAAGACATTTCCAGGTTTTGATATCTATAATTGATACATTTCTGAGTATACCTTATGTAATTACATTCATATCGTAGTTATAATTTTAAACAAACGATCAACGACACGAGCATCATTGGACAAGTTAAACTGTCGTAAAATAATTAATACAATTTAATCCATTAATTATATGTTATATAGCCTTTTGCTTTTAATTTTTTTTTTTATTTATTTATTTTAAAAAAATTATGATATATTTGATATTAAAAACAATCATAAATCTATTACGACATTTTAAAATATATGTTCAGTAATTAATGTATTATAGGGCTACATAATTAGGGAACTAGCACATTTTACAAGTTTTGTACTCAGGTGTTTCAGTAGTATACAAAGAATTATCGTTGATCGACATCCATCAAGTGTACATGAGTAATTATAACCTTAACTATTTAAATAATTGGTTCAATTATTTATGTAGGATAATGAAAAACGATTAACATACTTAAACGTTTATTAATTATATTTTAAAATTCAAACACTTTCGATGTGATGGAGCGTATCTTTAATATATTTTAGGTACTCAAGATTTCGGTTTGAAATAGTTTAAAAATTAAATGTTTTCATGTTGATTTTAGCTACCGAATAAAGTCGATGAGTATAATATAGGTTTTTAAATTATATATTTTTTTATAGAAGATTAACTATAAACATTTTGAAACAACATCGTCGTCAGAGCCGTCCCGAAGATGAAAATCAAGGGGGGGGGGGTGAATAATATGAAAAATGCCAACTACAATTTTTTTACTCAATGTATGTAGTATAATTAACTATATGTAGTCATATTCTTACTTTTCAACATGTATATATGTGTCAGTGTCGCACGTTCTTAAAATTGACAACTTAATTATATATATTTATATTTTATATTGTATAATAAGTAGTTATATAAATTTTATTCGTGTATACACTGTATTACGAAATATGTAATATTTATTTTCCGTAAGTAAAATTAGGTCCTTCTAGGCTATAATAAAATAAGTCCGACTGCCGACTGGGGTTTCTGTAGGGAGTTGATACACCCCCCCCCCCCAAATCCCCCTTCGGGATGGCCCAGAACATAGTATTTCAATCTAAAAAACATTGAACAAAAATTTTACTATTTCAAAATATCATTAAACATTATTCTAGTAAATTTTATATAAGCGCATTAGATGTTGTAACACTATGATTATCTGAGTTTCACTTATAATACCTTTTAAATGATAATAAATTATAGTATAATCACTACAAATTTTTCAAACACCTTTGGTGAACCACTATAATTTTTCACTTATTATATGATTTTATTTTCACGTATAAAATAATTAAAATTTGAATTTTTATAAAATTATTATAATTTTAAGTTATTTTACTTGACAAAAATATTTGTAAATATAGTTAAACAAATCACAAGCATATTGTCCATAAAATATTTTGCAACAATCTTTGAATTGGAATCGACTTTTATTTTAAATGTTGAAATATTGCATAACCAATTTTTTTATGAATATTAATGATATTTTTATAGTCTTTATAAAAATGTTTTGAAATAAAATGCTAGTTGTACGTTAACTTTGACGATTTATAAAACCTATCTGTGATTCAAAATAATAAAGTTTTATATTTGTAAAAAAATTTTATGTCCCAGATAATAACTAAATATTCAGTATGTATTTATGATAATGGACGTAAATAATTGAAGAAAATAAAAATGTAAATTGTATTTCCTACAAATGACAGTGTAAAATGTGTTAAAAGTTATTATTTTATTTACCAAAACGAAATTCTACAAACGGCGCTTCATTTAGGCAATTATAGTACATTTGTGACGATTAACTATGTAGTCTTGCGAATGCAAATATACTTTTGTAAAAAATCACTTATTTAAAAAGATGTCTTTAATATGTTAACAAATATTTATTTAAAATACTTAAAGATACATTTTAAGTATTTTAAGAAATCTGATGCTAACAACATAATTTAATCATCACAACATTCATAATAAATCACAAGTATATTATTAAACAAAAAAGGTTGAATAAAGTTGTTTAAAAAAAACTTGTTAACATTAGTGGATTTCATACAAACACCTTCACTGCTTTATTTTATCACAATATACTGAATTTTGCTGATTTTTCGATTGAAATGATGATTGATCGCTGTTTTTACAGTTGTGTAAATAATACAATTAAACAATACAACAAAAAAAAAAATATAAATGATGAAACCCTGCAGTGTTTCGAAATGTTTAGTTTTAATACTATATATATAATATAAAACAATTAAGTTAAAAAAATTATAAAATATATTTTGTATAAATTATATAAAACACACAAATCAACATTTTGATTTATTTTTACCATTTAAATACGTTATACAAATTCTTTATTAATTCGTTTTGTAATTTTTTATTCAATATACGAGTATGCTACAACATGATTCAAATTAGACCTTTAGTTTTTATTATTTCTTACATAATGATTTAAATTTGTTGATCAATGAAAATGTTAGCTCTTGTATAAGGTTAAGTGTTTCATTATCTCATTAATGACTTCATTCCGTTTGAACATAAGAATATTCAAGTACCTGCATCTATTATAGATTAGAAATAAATTCGATATGACAAATATTTATGTAATACCAATCCATTATTTTTATGTGTGTTTTTTTGTTAAATGAAATGTTGTTGAAACCGAAATTATAATAATTTCAGGCTAAAATCTTGGCTTTTAAGAATAAGCATTACATGGTTAAACATATTTACGACATGTCAAAATTCACATAATATGGCATTAAAATATAGTTAAATATTTAAAATATAGTTAAATATTTAAAATATAATTAAATAATTATTTATAATTAAATATATTGCATTAAATATTTAACTAGATAATATCCTCATTAAAATGTGAACCACTGCTTCTCGACCACTATGTCGCGAAAAACGTCCAAGTATTTCGCAATAATAGCTGAAACAAATTTACGATAATTTTGTAATTAATAACGATACTAATATTTCTGGTCTATATTATGTTAACTTACAATATTATACCTCAAAAAAAAAAACTTATGATATACTGTACCGTGTATAAACCTGTATATATGGTTCATATTAAAAGACATGTTATTTAATTATAGATATG